AAAAAAAAATACATAAGAAAGTTTCTTTTCATTTCTGTTCTGATAACTATAAACATTGCAAAAAGACAATAATCATTGAACAACAATTTAAGAAAAAAAAAACAAACCATAAAAAAACATAGAAATATAATCAAAAAAATATAAATTGAAAAAAAAGGAAAAAAAAACTTGGTAGAAAGCAACTTTTTAACATAGCATAACAACAAAAGAAAATACAAAAATAAAATAAAGCTAATGATGGTCAAGAAATTTTCTTTCAATTTGCAAGAGATGTAACACAATTTTCTTCAGCAAAAAAACAAACCTTTGGAACACTGACTGAAAACAAAGTAACACCAAAAGAAATAAAAACGAATAACACCGAATTTTACAAAAAAAATGAAAAGAGAAGAACAAAGAAGAGAAATCTGCTAGAAAATTATTTTTGGTGAGTCTTTTCTTTTTCATTCTTTCTTTCTTCAAGAATCCGACGATCAAATTACTGCTTCATAAAACAGAAGACATACAGAAGACCAATGAAGCTCGTCATTTTGGTTACTGTATTCTAGATGCTTATCAAATCAGTATCAATCAACTTGTACTGCAAATCATTGCTGTTTTTTTCTGTTCTATCATAGAAAATCAATCCAATTGATAACATAGTTTAGAATTCCATCTAAGATAATTTGAAACAATGCGTACAGTTCTGTGTTGGCAGCTTTCTTGTTTTGCTTGTTATCAGTATTTGTTAATGAACGAACAATACACTGTTGTTGTTGTTGTTGTTGTTGTTGTCGCCGGTTACTATTATGAATTACTATTTGTGTTGATAGTAAACAGAGGAATTGTTTCATCAAAACATCAAACAATTTTACTGACAAATAAAACAACGGTACATTTTCCAATACAAAAAAGAGAAAAAAAACAGTAAAATTAAAAATATGTTAAGAAAGTTAGCAAAAAAGAAAAAGAAATTCAGTCTTGTTTAGACATCTCTTTCATATACCCACCAAAATCAGTGTCCGATACTGTTATTGTCTTCTAATTTTACAGTTTTTCGGAAAAAAATGATAAGTAACAAAAAAAAAACAAAAAACCTTTACATAAAAAAATATAATTCAAAAAAAAAAACAGTATTTTTTTTCCTTTTTTTTTTCTAACTTAAAAATTGAGAAAGAACAAACAAAACAAAACAAAAAAAAAGAAGTACAAATAAAAAAGAAAAGACAAAATTATGAACAAAACTAATGAACAAATAATCAAAGGAAAAATAAAACGAATTCACAGACATATCATTTCACCGACATACACACACAGACACAGACACACAGACACACACAGACACACACAAACACACACAGAGACGATACAGTTACAAAAACATAGATAAATAAACGGATCACAGTTTTTCATGGAACAATAGAATCCTCAAATAAAACTATACTGCTTAACTTACTGATATTTTTTCTACAATTTCTTAATCAGAAAAAAAGTAAACAAACAAAAGACAAGGAAAAACAGAAGTGTACTGGCAGTATTTAAAGAAAAACCACAATGACTTTTTCTTTTTTTGTTCCTTTTTCCATCGTTATTTATTGCTACAGAAATGGATGTCATCAACTGTTCACCGTTTTTTCATTTTTTTGTCAATTGTTTCAACAATTCTGTAAAAGATAACCAAAAAAAAAAAAA